AACTTAAGATTATTTTTTTATAATATTTTATTATATTTTATAATTTTTAATTAGTAAATATGAATTAAAAATTTATTATATTTTTTTAAACTAATTTATTTTTTAAAAAAAAGAAAAAATTAATAATATTTTTAATTATTTCTTATCTATAATATAAAAAATTTTAATTTATTAATAAATTATATAATATTTAAAGATTATTAGAATCTTTAATAAATTAAATTTTAAAAAAATAAACTAGTAATAATCTTGTTTAAGATATATATTATTAAATTACTAATTAGAATTTTAATTTAAATTTTAAAAGTTATAAGTATATTATATATTTTAATTAGAATTAAAATATATCATATAATTTTTTATATATAAAATTTATTTTATTAATTAATTACAATAATATATTATATGTAAATAATTTTTATTAATTTAGTATTAGATCTAAGTCTTTAAAAAATTAATTATATCTAATTATTTTTAAAAAATATTTATTTAATTAGTATTTATACAAACTTTTAAGAGTCTTATATATTATTAATTATATTATATAATATATTATCTTATATTATTACTTAATACTTATTATATTATTGATTATATTATATAATATAATATATTATATTATACATGTAAAATTAGAATAAATTTACATAATTAGTAAGTTAAGATTTTCTGTATTATAAAATTTTAATATTAATTTTATAATTTAACTTAAAGTTTTAATAATATTATAAAAAATTACTTATTTTTATTTTTATATTTTTAATAAAAAAATATATACTTATTTTTCTATAATTATTTAAATAATAATTATATATTAGTAATAGTCTTAAAAAATATAATATAAATTTTTATTTTTAATAATATAGCTTTAAATTATATTTTTTAAAAAATTAAAAATATTTTATTTAAAATATTTATAAATTTATATTTATTTTAAATATAATAAAAAGTTAAAATTATATTAAATTTGCAAAAAAATTAAAAGCTTAATTATATTTATTTTATTTTAGATTTAGTATTAAATAGAAATATAATATTTTATATATTTTTATTTTAAATTATAATATAAAATTAATAATAATTATTATTAATTATTTTTTATAATATTAATTTATTAATAAGAATTTTTAATTTTTAAATTGAAATATATAAATTTATATATAAATATTTATTAATTAAGAAGATTTATATAAATATATTTTATAATATTAAGATAAATAAAAGCTTTATCAAGAAGTAATATAAGAAAATAAATAAAAAGTAATATATAATATAAAATAATAAAATTTATAATAATTTTAATAATTGATATTTATTTATAACAGAAAAAAAATTATGAATTACTATATGACTCTAAATATAAATAATTTCTGAATATAAGCATCATCTCTTTTTAAGATCTGAGATTCTGAAAATATTATATATAAATATACTTAAATATAAGCAATCCTTCCTCTTTATCCTATCAAAATCTTGTATTTTTTGATTGCTTATATTTGAAGATATATGATATATAATTAATTATATAAAAAAAATTCAAAATAAATATAAATATAAAATAATTTTTATTTTAAAATTTTACTTATAAAATTACTTTTTATATTTTAATAAAAAATATTTCCTGTTTAATTCTAATTTTAAATACTATTAAAATTTCATAAAACTAGTATAATTTTTTAAGAGTTAATTATATAATATAAGTCTTATAATTTTAGAAGATAAATTAATTAATTACAAATTTAATATATTAATATTATATAATTTGATTATCTTTTAGAAAGGCTTGTAGATCCATAATAATTAGTCAAACGAACATCTAAATTTATATTCGTGATTGTGATCTCATAATCGCAAATTATTTTGTAAGAGATAAAGAAAGCTGCATAATACACAAATTACTAAATACTAATTTATACTTGGGTGATGTGTATTTAGCCAAGCACTATGTGCAGAAACTTCAAAAGTATCAACTTTATTCTTTCAAAACAAAATCTTCGAGATTTTTGGCTTGATCAATCTGCAAGAGGATTTTTATGATCATTTGGTTTCAATTTATATATTTAAATTTTAAAAACCAAACCTTTCCAAATCGCATCTATAAAAACAAAAAAAAACTAAGGAAGTCTTTACTTAGTATATAAAATCTAGATAAGTTATACAATTTTTTTAATCAACCAATGATGACGATAATGAGGTGTTAAAATGAAAAGTTGGGGATTAGGTTCAACGAATATATAAAAAAGGAGTAGGAATTTGTCAAGAAATAAATAGTAACAAGTGAAATATGTACAACAGAAATCTATGAATAGGGAGGTTAGAATTTTGATAATTGTCCTTCGGTCATCATGTTATTTCTAGTATTTTTCCTAATTAATCACAATCAATATATTAAAATTATCAAGCAACTGATCCTGTTTCTGTAGTTGCATCCGTTTTTATCAGCGCCAATTCTACAGCTTCCAGTTGTCCTTCCTTATTTACCAGTGAAACTGTAAAATTTTCAACGGCACTTTCAGATACCGTTTCTAATGGTGATTTAACAATATTAAGCTCATCATCCTCGCTGTTAACTTGATCGACAATAGTTGATGTTGCATATTCGGTCTCGGATGGTGGTGAAGTGTCTGATATGTTAATCTCACTATTAGAAAGCATTTCCTTGGCCTTCATAAACACTTCTTGGGCAGTCAACTCGGTCACTTTGTTTTCTTTCTTCTTGAAGAATATTTTGGGACTCGTACACGTGCCCAAGACCCGTCGTTCATGTTGCGTCAGATAGCTGAGACCAACCTGATAAGAAGCATTCATCCAACCGAAACCTTCTCGAGGCACAAATTTAAAGTCGGTACCAACATTTCCATATTCCACGTCGAGCAGATGACCAAGTGAGACAACGTCGTACTTCTCTGGGACAACTCCATTGAAATCGACAAAAGATTTAGTTATAGTGTATAGCCATCGATAGGCTAAACGACGAGCTTCGTTCTTGTATCCATAGATCTCTAATCCACGCCATGCCATCATTTGATGTGGTGCCCAACCAAAAGGATAATCCCATTGACGATTAGGACGATCCAACGTTATAGTTCCACGAGATTCTTCGGTTCCACTAACCAAACCACCAAGAACTTCAAATTTAGGAAGTGAATTTGTACTATATATATATATATATATATATGAAAAGATTACGTTAAAATTAATATTAAAATTGAAGGTGGCATTAATTAGTGATAGCCGACACAATAATACTTACACTAATTTTTCCGCTTGATCTTTACTAGCACACCCGGCCCAAAGCGCCCAAAATGCAGTGACTGTCTCATACACAGATTGCTCTTCCTTCACCGTATCATAATCATAGTAGAGACTTTTCTCTTCATTCCAGCAATACTTATCTATAAGTGCTTTACGTCTTTCTGCACGTTTAAACCACTCATCACTTTTCTCAATAGCACCATTTTCCAATACGAAATTGTCATTGAAAATATCACGAATCGTTTCACCAATATCTATCTCATACTTGTACAACAAACTGTTCAAATCGATGGTTGCCAAGTGTGCACATCGTTTTTCGAAGCGATATGTCGTATCATGACCTGACTCGCGCACTGCACGATCATGCAAGAAATACTCGTCTAATTGTGGTTCATGAATTTCATTATTTTGATATTTTTCCGCGTATTCTTTAATTGTGAGACCCATTCGTCTCGCAAATGGTAAAATAACATGATCGAAGTGGCTCGCCTCAGTTTCCGGAGGAATCCCGAGACCAGTTGGATAGAATCGACTAAGACCAGTTTTTGGATCATAGCGTGGAACACTCATCCAAACGGTGTGGTATTCTTTGATAGCGGCATTAAACGCCGTTGCAAGCCATTTTACCTTTTCACTTTCTTCACCAGAAAGATGGTGATACACACGAAGTGCCATATCTGTGAGGAATGGAGGCTGAGATCTCGTCAGATAGTAACTGCGGTTGGCATTCAATATTTTACCATAATGTTTAATCTCGTACACAAAATTCTCCACCATTCCCTTAGCCATCTCAACTCTCCCGTCAAGAATCAATCCTAAAGTTTCGAAATAAGAGTCCCAGCCATACATTTCATTAAACCTGCCTCCAGGAACTATGAATGGGACACCTTTGATTATTGTTTTGCCGTATGCATCAACGTGTTTGCGCAAAGCTAAAGACAAAATGCCTGGTCGATTATTAATGCTCTTCACGTATTCAGGCGTCATCTCTTGCGGTAGCATTTCCACTTCAAGTTTTAAATGTTTTCTAGTCTCCGATACATGTTTGTAGTACTCGAATGTTTCAGTCTCACCATGTGGAATATAAATACGAGGATTATGATTTGCGTTCAAATTTTTAGGGTCCGCACAGATTGCTTCTAAGCCGTCTGCATCAATCTTTCGGGTGAGCCCATCCCAGAAGTGGTGTTTGATCATCCTCGATAATCGATCTACAGGATTTTCATTAAGCCGCGCTTCATCAATAACAATATATTTACGACCATGGTCGAGTGCTAATGCTAGCTCCTGTAGCAAAGTCGATAACATATATGTTCCGCGAATTTCATATTTACTATGACCACCGGAATCTGCGGTACCCAATTTTAGTGATTTCGGTCCCGAGTCATTGATTGTTATCTGAAAGTCACCATCTGTATCTTCTTGTTCCAGAATAAGGCGACGCGTTTCCAGAACATCAATTAGAAATTTGCGAGGGACGTTCGTCTTCTCGTCTATTGTGTGTTTTCGAGGAGGAGAGAGTTGTTTTCAGTCAATTGATGAGGAGTAGTAGGAGGAGTATGTAGAAGTGTGGTATCGTAAACCGTAATATCATCTAGAGAGACCGTCTATGGAGATTGTGCAAGTTTTTGTTGATGGAATATTTGATCGATAATGATCACGTTTTATTTATTAGGAGACCAGAGCGTGTGGGGAAGAAGTCGGGACAACGGTATTGTCGAGATCGATATTTTTTTTATTGATACACACATTTCATACCTCAAAACCATAATTTATTTAAAAAGAAAAAAATAAAACCAATATTTACCATGTGAAGACCTGCGGTGTCGTGCCCCGGTGATGTTTCTGTTTAGTGAGGTCTATTAATTCACAATTATATATAGTGACATTAGTAGATTTAAAACGAGAGAATATTTTCGATATAAAATATTTCGTTCGATACTTGCAGCGAATCTCCTCACTCGATCTACATTGTGACTTGTGAAGCTGTTATCCCCAGTGTTGTAATACACGTAAGCGGGTGCGTAAGGAAATTCAGTCATTTTAAGACGATTTTTATATGTGATAATAATAATAATAATAATAATAATTATTGAAAAAGAGAGTTTACCATTAAATCAGATATTTATATTTACTTTTATATGATTGCAAAAAGGAAAAAACCAGAAAAATCTGGATGCTATAATGGGGTGATTAGTTCAATTATTTTATCGATTTATTTTATTTTATCTCTATAGTGATAATGAAAAAAGATGAAGAGCCAAACAACAAAGAATACTTACGAAAACAAGAAATATATAAATAATGTAATTTAATAGAAAAAATATCATGTCATGTTGTCCAGATCAATATAAATTGTTATAACGGGAACCAATTAAACCGAATTCACGCTAACCCTAACCATAACCATAACCATAAAAATTACGCAAAAAATTTTATTTTATAGATATTATGTGCGACACAATGACTGAATTATTAATCAGTTGGGAAATTTTAGTGTGTTTAGTTTAAACACTTACCGTTACCTAAACACACATGCAACAAATCTAATTGATTATTTGACATTATTATTTCATTATTATGAATAATTTAACAATCAGTCCCAAATATTTGTCACAGTATAATTAATACACATATTCTAAATTATTAATATTTATCGTCTAATTTATATAAGCGCTATTAGAGGTTCGGATCGGACCATGATGTGCTCCTTTTGGAGGCTGTTTATACTGTATATATATATATATAAAAAAATAAATAATTTATAAATAAATCTATACTATTCCAAATCTGGGAGTAAATAAAATCATCGTATCACAATATTCTCGGGAACATTAAGTCGCTGTATACCACCGCTACCACCATTTAATCCATTATTATTCGAATTACTATTATTGCCAGCACCAACCGCCGTGCTATTAGGAGAAGCGAGACCAGCGGTCATAATCCCTCCTTGACCAACACCACCACTACCATCAGTCGATGAATCTCGACCACTTCCAATACTGATACCCATCGAGGCCAATTTTGCACGAGCCTTTTCATTGAAATTGCGCTCGTCCGCGGACTCGGTATTGTTGATTCCGATCAACTGATCTATTCCCGCAGATTTGAAATCGGATCGCTGTTGTAAATATATATGCAGATATTTGGTGTCGATCTTCGCGAGGTAACCTTCGTTTAGGACCGATTTCAAAATCTCGGGTTTGACGATAAACAAATTTGAAAGCTGTCGTATCATTTCGAAACGTTCGTCTAATACGGGAATTTTGAAGAGCGCTATGGTTTCTTGGTACTTTGCTATATCTCTATAATGTATTAACGCCCGATGATAAAAGAAATATGTCAGATAATTTCTAAATTAAAGAATTCATCAATATGAAGGGACAATTATTTACTTTGTTAAGACCAGACCGCCAGCAGCACTCACTGAAAACTTTTTCAAATGGTCTAATAGCATGCTGTAAAATCATATTTTTTTGTAAGTATGGAATGTTAAAAATTCAAAAAAAAAAGATCACGAGATGTCCTTACCTATGAAATGACATTCCCACTTCCGTTAAAAACAGCTCCAAATTTTTCCCATCGAGAAATTGGCTACTATTAGTATAAACTTTTTTCAGAAAATCGACAGAAGTGTCGCAGGGCTAACAATATTATCAGGAAAGAAGATTTAAGAATCGAGGCGATTTAAAAAAATAAAATTCGGATCTAAAATTGAAAACTTACCGAAGTCACCAAATTTGTGAGAACTTCATCTTCTTTTGGTTTGAAATCACTCTTCTTCTGTTTCGACAGTATATATCCCAGCCGCGAAAGAATTGCTATTTTTTGTTGAAACTCAATAATGAGTGTTTTTCATCATATAAAGGTTCTTTAATAAATACCTACCATCTATAATCCGTTGCACAGCTAAATTGATTTTATTTTCTACTACCAACATAAATTTATTTTTATCGGCAATCAATTCTCGGTGTATAGACAATGAAGGTGATGCCAAGGGGAGCTAGTTTTTTATGAGAATGATCAGTCATAAAAATTTTTCATATCGATTTTTGAAGCATACGCACAATTACGGCTTGGAAATGATTTTGAGCTAGATGAATAATGTCACGAGCTGTTTTCACCACCGTTATAGCTTTGAAATCAAAATCAGATTTATAGTCCATCACAGCAATCTGATCTAACGCTCTATCAAATTATAATTTTAAGCATATTAGAGATTTGGCTTCATAGTATCACAAATAATCAATATACGTTACGTGTCAAGCGCATTATCAACATATTGCTTCCCAATACTTTCAAGTAAAACATGATACAGTATACTCGCGTTTTTGGGTCTAAATTAAAATCTAATTAGTCAAATGTGTGTGATTGATGTTCAATACTAATGATTACTTACAGATCATTAGGGAGACTCAGTTCTACTGATCTTCTTATAGCTTCGGCATGTATTTTTAAAATCAGCATGGCAGAGTACACAGATAATTTGCCATCTTCCTCTGTAGTGGGAACAATGCCTTTTTCCATTAGATTGGATCCTGGTGTCTGATTAAGATTCGGAGATGAACCGGTAGACGAAGATGACGATATTTGATTGACAGCGCGTTGAAATAAGGTGCTCCCCTTTGTTGCTTGCTTTCTTTGTATCTAGCATTATAACATGAGGTGCATTCATATTCGGTAAGTGCCATCATGAAAAAATCAAAGTATTCAAAAAATCACTCACATGATACGCATTAAATTGCAATAAAAGCGACGAATATAGTTCATTCAAAGATTTCTTTTCTTTTTCTATATACCGGTCAGCTTCTGTATATGGAACAAACAAATCAACCATACATTGGTTCAATACTTCAACAATAGTGTTTATTTTGCTGGGACCAATGTCTCCCTCGTCGTTGCTTTGAAGTGTATCAGACGAGGTTTTCCTTTGACGCATGTCCAGGTGTTTCAGATCTTCGACAAGCTCTACTGTGACTGCGTGTACGGATGAAAGAGTACGTAGATATGCCAACGTCGAGTCATTTTCGGCTTGCAGTAATAAAGACTCCAAGTGACTTTGGATCTGTTTGCCATTGTTATTAATGTGGTCACAATAGTTTCTGATAAGAGAAAAATTTCCCTATTTTAAATAGTACAATAAATAGATCTTAAAAATACCAATTGCGCAAAAATACGTTGCAAGAAAACTTGCATAACATTAATCGGATCTGGAAAAACAGCATTGATGATTTCTGCTTCTTGTTTAACAGTTTCCCTGATTTCTTCATAAAGTTTTACGAGTCCTTGATCAGGAGGTGGAGGGGGTACTTCTGGATTGGCGAGTTCATTCCAACTTTTAATATTAAATACAATGATAAAATTACTTGATTAATCCAAAGTATACCAAATATGTAGATAGAAAAACGACAATGATAATACCTTGAGCTAGATAGGCCATTTTCAGCCATATTAACTTTGGTAATAAAAAACTCATGTTGGTTGACGTATAATTTGATGCATGATTCACAGCCATTAAATTCATTTAATGTTTTCGCGCAATGCTAACATTTAATTAATTACATAATTAATTACATTTGAACATTCATTATATCTGGTATTCCGATAAACTATACGAGATAAAAAGAAATAAAAAATCTACCTTCATGGTTTTTGCGTCTCCTTTACGATAAGCTCTGTCAAATTGATCTAACAATTCTTTTTCGAGAACTTCGCAAAATTTTTCTACTTTAGCTTTTGCCTTTTTTTTCCGAAAATGGATGAAGACAAAAAATTTTTATCACCGCTTACTAAAAGATATTTGCTGAATTCCAATTCACAAGATAAAATTACACATACAGCTTCAGCGCCCGGAATATCGACCTCTTTAGCTATAGTGTTCAATCGTCGAGCAATCACCGCAGCCTAAATCTATATCATTGAGTATTTCTGAAGCGCAAAAAAAAAGATGGGATATATATAGTCGTAATCAAGTAAAAAATTGGTGTAGAGTTACCTTAAATTGACCCTCTCTTCCATGTTGCTTTTTCAAATTTTCCAGTTTCGTTGAGTCGCCGCGATTGAATGCCATAAAAAACTCTATTAATTCTTTTGACTCCGTTGCGCGTAGCCTTTGTCTGTCTATAGTTTCTAGCTGCTCGCCTAATGAAAAATGGATTGATTTAATAAAAAAAGATACAAAACCATGAATGAAGAGACGATTGTTAAAATCGACCCACCAATTCTAATAGCAGTATTGCCGACTTCATTAATACGGGTTTCTAGCGATTCAAAGGAGGTAACAACATCCTGGCGAAAATTTATAATGTGGTGTTAACAATTTTAAAAATTCGATCATTATTTATTCGACACATGTAAAATCTATTCACCTCAAAAGTCGACGTCAGTTCCTGCAATTTTTTTCGATGAGAAACTTCTGTGAATTGCACACTCCCCTCCAAATCATCACTCTGCTCTTGCACCGTTTTTCTTAACTTCAATAACTCTTCAATGGAACTCTCGAACGTTCTTATGAACGGTTTCGGATTGAAGGCTATGCGACAAAAGCTGATGACGCATTATTTAACAATTCATTATCATTCAGAATAAGGCGATATTCCCAAACAGAGTATATTATGAACAGAGATGAACTGTGACAAGGTATGTCCCGATTCTGTTCTCAATTTCTTGGATTTTATAAAGGTTTGTTTCTTTTGCTTGTTACCTTTAGGATTCGCGCCCTTTAATAAATGCTTGGTAGTTTTTTCAATGAATTCTTTTGTGGTGAATTTACCCTGAGAATTGATTAATCAAATTTGTAAAGACATTAAATACGCGTTGAAAGATGGTAATATACATGGGAAAACTAAGAAAATACTCTTTATAAGGCGGTCTACCCAGTTTTCTACCAACTATACCTGAAAGGTTTCAATTTTCAGGAATGCTTGAAGTTCAGGATCCAAAGTATATGGCGTCGGCATCTTTTTATTAATCAGAAACAGAGCGAACACGACGCGCAAATCTAGTAGGTTAATAAATGTTTCACAAGCACCACCTGCAAAAAATTCAATTCTTTATTCATAACGTATGTTGCAATGAAACATTTATCACGAGGCGAAGTTTAAGAATATTTCTCAGCTTCTTTTGGATATTTTAGATTTAATATTTTTTTTATGTCGAATTGAGTATTAAACTTTGCAAATGGAAATGATGGTTGTCTGTAAAATCTACAATTGGAGACATCTGCAGCTTTAATCCCTTTTGTTTTGATACTTTTGCCTTGCTTGCTTTTAGAAGTTACATACCAGCTATTGTAAATATTACAAAATTATCGAGATTATTCAGTCATCATTGCTATCAACTATTTTATTATCTTCGTCCGTCATATCCGTTTCCATAGTACTTGCGTTTTCATGGATCGCGGTGGTGATATTGCTCACTTCCTCATCTACTATAAATTGATCATTAGTCTCTTCCGTGGAGACGACGATACCAAATCGTAATTTTTGGTATTCGGCTTCGGTCACCCACTTTTTTAGTTCTGGGGGTTCTTGCTTTTGTGGCTTTATTATTGCGATGTATCCTTCAGAATATGGCTGAGTTTTTCAATCGATAATTGTCAGAATGAAGATAAAGTTTTCGTTTCATAGATGTAGAATACTGAATAAAAATGAATTAATAATTTCCGGCTTACCTTTTCGAATAAATACTCGGGATTATTAACAATTTTCTCGTTCCAGTCTACTAGGAAGCCTGTCACGGGAAACTTGATGTCTAATAAGTGTTTTTCGAATTTTGGATTCTTTGTGATAAAGTCTCTGATATCTCCGTAACTTTTTTCGGTGATAGATGCGCTCTTATCGTGTTTTATTATTGTTTCTAATTCAGAGACGAGATTTGTTAATAAAGCTGATGAAGAAGCTGACGATGTTTGAGGTAATCTTGACACTGCAATTGAACAAAGATTATTATTTGGTCGAAAAAGACGATTTTTCTTTCCAACTTTTCCAGCTGATGATGTGACAATTTTGTTGAATGCGATGGAAACAATGATTGATCTCTCTGAATGTTCAGTCGTGGACGAATTGAAGTAGGAGCTCGTTGAAGCTTCTCGGATTAGTGGATGAGTAGGCGCTAATCCCAGTACACATAGACTTTTTTTGTTGAAGAAATAGCGGAGATTAGACTGAGAAAAGATCTTCTTGCATGAAAATGCAAATTCAACTTTGCATACCCATTTGGAGGTCGATATACGTAAAAATCTTCTTGTTTCACTTCATCTGTATTTTTTAATTTTCGAATTCCCTCACACGTCAATGACTCGTAAACACAAAATCTCGAGATATAATTAGATAGTAGTTAGTGATTTTAACTATCAACCTGGATCTAGAAAATAAAGCTTTTGATAATATCGATCCAAATACGAAATCGGGTCTTTTTCGAGTTTCTGCGCGAATTTTGTGTATTTTGATATGTCGAATCCTGGTATGGTGGTGGTTGATGTTATAGATGATGATGAGGCTGCAATATTCCTATGATCATTAACGTTATCGTCATGAGAGATTTCAGTTTCGTTCTTATTGATGGCTCCAGACATTTTCTCTACACAAGTTAACAGCGAATTTTCAGTTTTTTATAAGGCACGTGATACATCCACACCATTGATTGACGATTGGTTCATAATAATAAGAAAATGTCGGAATTTTTGTATCTTTTGACGGTGCTTTACTTCTGTTACTGTCCAGAATAAATTTCAACATTCATGGATAATATGGACATTGACGAACCTATCATTTCTCCATCAGCGAAAGCTGGCAAAGCCAAAGATAAAGAAGAGAAAAAGAGGTTTGAAGTGAAAAAGGTAATATATATTTATAACTCGTCCTCGTCGTAATATACGCCTAGTATATTGCGGGTCTATAACTAATCATATAAAACTAAATTATTTATTTATTTATTTATTGTGAAATGTTTATTTATGCTCTCGCATCTTGCGAAACCTATCTGTTGGCTTGTTGATTTGCTGACTTTTTTTGGTAGTGGAACGCAGTAGCTCTATGGGCATGGGGTTAGTATTGACGTTTCTTTATGATAATAGACCGTCGAATTTTTTCCTTGGAATACAAAAAAAATGTTTAATAACAAAAATGGGTTTTTCTTAATACAGATATCGTCGTCGATAATTGTGCTATTTGCCGAAACCATATCATGGATCTATGTTTGTTGTTTATTTTTATTGTACGATTCATCATCGTTGGGTCTCGATTAATTTTTTCCTTAATTCAGGCATTGAATGTCAGGCTAATCAAGCTTCCGCGACAAGTGAAGAATGTACAGTGTAAGTTGATTATCCAATTATACTTGTGGTGTCTCTGATCCATAATCATGATGGTTGATAATAACGTATTAACACAGTGCCTGGGGAATATGCAACCACGCTTTCCATTTTCATTGTATCTCTCGTTGGTTAAAAACACGGCAAGTTTGCCCTCTGGATAATAGAGAATGGGAATTTCAAAAGTATTTATCAAGTTTGGTTTCTTGTCTCTCGTTTCTGTATGTAAATCATAAGGATAGATATTAATGAAATGTTGCACTCATTCTCAGATATGGACGATAATTCAACACTGGGATTAATGAATAAATCGTGTTTAATTAAAAATCTATTATTAAATCTTCATATAACATCGCTATTGCATTAATGGATTATAAAATAGTTTAATTTAAATGATTCCATAATCATGTTTGCCCACTGTTTCTTCTATAATTTATATATGAAATATCCTTACATTTTTTAAACGAGTTCATAAAAGATGGCTTCGTAATCACAGAAAAAACGATTTGTGCAGATTTTTATCAGTGTATTATTTGTTCAAATTACTTTTGAGAAACTAATTATATTCACTTACGAGTTTTGATTCATATTATTCGATTCAAATTTCGAAAGTCTAAGATCGAGTCTCTTATTCAACACAACTTTGTACTTTAAGGAAAAGTTAAACTAAAATTACTGACATAAAATTGTTTAGCTAAATTAATTTTACTTATTTCTTTTCCTTTATTACTTTAATGGTGCACCCACTATGTTTTGGTGGTGTTATGGTTCAAAGAACGCTTAGATAATGGTGACACATTTAAAAGATGCAAAAAAAATTACCTAATTTGGATTTGAATTTTCATTATATCCGATTAAAGTTAGGTCAGATTTATTATGCATTATCAGAAAATCATCATCCATAAACATTTTAAGCGAAACGAACAAAAATATTATAATTATTATTACTGCATTTAAGAGAGCAGTCGGATCTATTTTAAAAATTCGATTGTATCAGGAAACATAAAACAAAACTTTCACTTTAGAAAATGTTCATTTTTTACTCGGTTATAATTTGGTTTGAATTATGCATGATTTCAACGCAACTTCTCTATTTCGTTGAAATTTATTTCTTATGTTCGCATTTTTCAGGTTGCTTTATAAATTGTCCCAAAACCATCCTTTTGTAAGATATTCAAATCTTTCAAAAGGAATTTCGTTATTGGAACATTCCAATATACGAATTGGTCTGTGATATTTCAAAACATCAATAATGAGCATTCAATTCCATGCGTTTATATATATATATATGGATATAATAAAACAAACGAAAGATAACCGGTATACATTGTACTGGCTCACTACCCAGAAGCTCAACAGAGAAAGAGTTTACAAACATGATCATAGCTCTGAGATTGTACAAAGTTTTTTCGATGATCCTGACACATTTTTTAAAAAAAAAATCAAATAGCACTGGCAGGGAAGCTGTCAAAATCATCGGCACAGTCTGGCAGGCAGATCACAACGGTACCACCGTCAGGTCGGGTATCTAGCCCGCCATAGTTGTGTGAGTATGTGCCCCTTCTCAGGACTCAAATGAAGGGTCCCATCTCCACAATAAAGGTTGGGAAACCAAAGCTTGTGGACATGGCGGTACCGCCGTAAAGTGGATGTACCGCATCCACCGTAGCCATGGAAGTATGTTTTCCCTTCTCGGGACTTCAATGGGCCCCCCACACTGCCTGCCAGCTATAACAAATAAAAGCTCAAACCTTGAAGCAATCTTGCAACCGTTTGGCAGCTGACTCAACGTCACTCAAACCATTATTCACCAGCGACTCCAGACAACGCCAAAGCCTGCCTGACTCTTCTTTAAATGAAAAGGTAAAATCGGGTTGATTCTGCCGGTGACGATAGTAATCCAGAAATCGAAATTCCGTTGGTGGGGTGTTTTGAAAATATGGATCAGTGGAAATGTCTTGCATAATTGAAGATCGATGTTCTGGAACTGTCGGTAATGTGTGAAAAGAAATAATGTACACAAACGACGCGACGCATGCCCCATATATCATTATTAATATTATTCGACGTGGAAATTAGCCACGTGATAAATAATCCACGTTAAGTTACATGTTCGAATTTTTTTTTATGGTTACGCTGGGAAGCCCTTCTTATTACTGTAAAAGAATACTCCTTAAATGCCCTATTTATTATACCCGGATTTATACAGTTATACCTCCTAAGTGCACCCCCTTGGGGCCATAGTAAAAAAAAAAAATGAAAAATATGCATTTAGAGAGGGTGTGTGCACTTAGGGAGGTGTGCTTTAACCAACTTAAGTATGGTTTTCCGAAAAGAAATCGGCGAAACTCTAGGGACGACCAAATCGAGTGTAACTTTATTTGCCCACTTTTTTGTATCCCGGAGGAAAACAGATTTATGTAATATCACTTTTTTCTCGTGGAGGGGTGAATGTGGGGTGGCAATAATAATACCACTTTGAAAAGATTTTTTATAAAATAATTGATTTTTTTTCTTTCATATCATATTAAATATCGAATCTTTTGCATCAAAGTCATGGATTAACTTTCGGTAGGTAATTTTTTCTTCAGTATTATTTTATGATTTGAACGATGAAAAAAAAGGACAAAGAGAAGCTTCAATGATGCAAAAATTGAAAGAATTTCTTCACTTTCTGAGAAATTCACACCGTAAATGAGGACGTTTAGGACACCTCTGAGAAAATTTTCTTGGATCTTTTCTTTATTCATGTTCATGAATTCTTCATTTGTCATACTAATTTAACTATCATTTTTTTTTGTTCGCCACAAAGCTTTTAGATTTGACGAACAATGTAAAACTTGTTATTGATTATAAAACAAATTTGGATTTTATCTAATTTGAATGAAAAAATTTATTATTGGGAGAGGTCCAACTACTTGGTATCTAATAAATAAATAAATCGTAAACGATAATCTCTGCTCACGCCTAATACAAATTAAATATTTGAATGCAATAAATTAACACCACTTGAATTATCATTCTCTCCGTTGCAACGGTTTATCTAGTAAATCTACGATTTTTTGTGTGCAAATAATGTTTTGAAAATAATTCTGGAAAAAAAGGATTTTTATCTGTTGATTTGCTATAAAATAAAAAAAGTTCCTGAAAGACTCCTCCTCCCGAAAATAGTTTAGATTTTGATAAATTAATAAATAAAAGATTGTTCAACTCATGCAATCAAATCAAAGAATAAACAATAAACATTAGTTATCGAATGGGTTAGTTAAATCATGACCAAACGTCCAATGTGAAAAAGGACATCTCGTCATCGATTATACTGACGTTAGAAGGATCAACCACGTTATATGCTGGAGCCACCGTTGTCGTCTGCTCGTGCTCGGCATTATTAGTATTATTGTTGTTATTATTAATGTTAATCATGATGTTATCATTTGGCGGCAATGCGATGGCACTATCAATCAGTTTTGACAAGCTCCTGTGGTGAGTGGCACGTGGTCCGGAGGTATTTTTTAGTAAAGGGAGATTCAAGTATTTTTGACGTTGAGCCCTATGAAAATATAAAGGAATCAATTTGATTCAAATATGGACAATCGAATTTAGAGGACGACATAAAACAAAAAAAACACTAACTTTCTTTTTAGTAGATATTCTTTCTGATTGTGAATCAATCGATCTTGCTGTTCCCGTACTAAATCAACACCTGGTAAATTCTCAAGAATATTACGACCACGCTCAAATTGATGCCTTAATTTTTCCATCTATGCAAAAAAAACCACGTACACAAAGTTAGATATTATAATCAGAGAAATATGGATTATATTTCCTACCCAGACATAAAATATTTTTTTACAAATAATAGTTACCAGTTGGTGAACTTGTGACCTATTGTCCTTTTCCGGGTCAAAAGCATCAAATAATTCATATATTTTCGGTAAAAACTTGAATTCCTCACGCGGAAAACCATCTTGTAAATGCGATTGTTGAGGAGGCAGCTGCTGTGAGTTTATCGACTGCACATTTTTTAGACCGCCTGTTGTGTTGGTGGTACTACTATCCAAAACATCAAAACCTCCAAGTAGAGAGTTTCCTAGTGACACACCTACGCCTGTTGTATTACCAGTATTAGCTGTTGCTGCTGCTACTGCTGCTGCAACAGCAAGATTGGCATTACCATTAACGTTATCATTTCCAGGAACATCAACAAGATTAAGACTCAAGTCGGTAATCGTGTCAGTAATCGCGTATGGCATAACACTAGATAAATCTGCGGTGGTGCTAGTTCCGCTGCCAGTGCCCGAGGTGGGATCTTCAATAAAGGCAACTAAATTATCGATGGTGTTTGGTGAAAGTGTATTATAATCCATTTTGAAGTATTTGAAGAATACATTTTTTGGACGTTCTATTTTTTATGTGACAAATTTATCATAGTGTGATGATTTACTATATGTGATAATTAATAATTGTGATAACACTATAAGAAATTTTATTTTAAATATATAATATATAATCAAAACACTTATTTATAAAGATTTATATAATTATATTAATTATTTTTATTAAAAACATAATGAAAATCAAAATTTTCTCTATATTAAAATTTATAATTTTATTAAGAAATAATTTTATTTTTATATTAAAATAAAGTTTATTAGTTATAATTTAACATATATTTTTTTCAAATTTTTTCTGAAAGAATTATTTTAATTGTAAAGTTAATGTAAAAATTTTTATTAATTAAATTTTATTTTTAATTAATAAAAATTTTTGTATTAATTTTATAATTAAAATAATTCTTTCAGAAAAAATCTAAAAATTTAAAAAAAATATATATTATGTTATAATTAATAAACTTTATTTTAATATAAAATAAAAATTATTTTTTAATAAAATTATAAATTTTAATATAGAGAGAAAATTTTAATTTTTTTATTATATTTTATTAATAAATTTAGTTCTTAATATATTACTTTTAACTATTATTATAAATAAAAACTTATTAATTATTTTATTAAATTAAAATTAAAGTTAAAACTAAATTTTTATTAATTTAAAATATAAAATTTATTTTTAATTTGTATTTTAAATAATTTAAAGTAAATTTTATTATTATATAATATAAATAGAATTTAATAATATAATAAAAATTATTAAATTATTTAAATTATTAAATAAATTTATTTACTTTAAAGTAAAATAAAGTTTTTAAACTAAATTTATAAAAAAAATTTATTAAAAAAATTAATTTTATTATAATTTATTATTTTTTAAAATAAAAAATTATTTTATTTTATAATATATAACTTTATTTATTTATTAGTAATTTAAAAATATTTAAGATAAAAATAATATATTAATTTATCTAGAAATTTTCTTAATAAATTTATATTTATTTTTAAAATTATTATTATTTTTTATAATACATTCTGAAGATAATCATTATATATTTAATATATTATTACACAGATAATTATCATATATATCTATATTATTAATTTAGATAATTAATATTTTTAATTAGATTTCTTTATAATAATTCTTTTCTTTTTTTACTTATTCTCATATATTATTATTTTATTATTATTTATTATATTATTAATTATTAAATTATGATTAATTATTTTCTGAAAATATAAATTAAATTAATTAATTTTATTCAATTTATATGTATTTTAAATTATAGATTATTGTTAATTTGTTTGTATTTTATATTTATTTCTTTTCTTATAAATATAATCTATTTGTTCTATATTTTTAACTTCAAATCTGAATATTTTAAAATAATTATAAGTTATAAAATTAAAATTATTCATATTATATTTTATTTTATTTACAATTATTAACAAAAATAATTTTATATCTTGATAATAGCAGATATAATTATTATAAAAAATTATTCTCTAATATCTTATTATATATTACATATCATACATACTTACATACATATATATCTTAGTTTTAATTTATTAGATTTTAGTAAAATAAATATAAAATAATTCATATAATTTATGAAAAGCATAACTAAATTAATCAAGATTGTAAAAGAAGATAATTCCTCTAGTTCTAAATTTTCATTTTATCTCTTAGTAAAGATACTGTTACCGTTTTAAGATTATACGTATGTAATTATTTTAAAATGGTAATAGTGACTGTGTTCACGGCAATTGTTTACT